ATGTACAGGTTATTAGTAGTGGTGTGGCTGTGATAGAAGATTATGCTTAGCGTAAATACAAAAATACAAACGAACAAATCATACTTTGGTAGTATTTGTAGTAGCTAGTTAGATGTTATATTTTTGTACGGATTGGAAAATAAGTAGATTTACAAAACTTCTTACATTAGATATTTAATAAAATCTTCTTGTGGTTTTAATTTAGCAATAGTTTTCCGATATTTCTAAGGTCCTCACTAACTGTTGGCACATTTATTGGAAATAATATCTTGTATAAATGACATGCATACCCACATGTGTATAGATGGAAGCAAAAGAGGTTGCCTGTGATCTATCATCTAGACCACACACAAAAAATTCAAAAAAATAAATAAAAAATTGCTGTAATCTTGACAGATGTTGACTTAAACGTCAAAATAAATATTTGGTAAAGAAGATGACAAAATTATCCCGGATAAAATATTTGCTACGCTAATGCGTTGCACACTTGAAATAAAACGTACGATAGCTCAAAATTTCAAATCATGGGTAGATCTTTTCCAATAGTCCACGATGTTCTTTTCTTTTCTGTGTCGTTTATTATGTCGTATAAGGCAATGCAGTACTGGATAAAGGAACATCGTCATCCGGAGCAGGATCGTACCGCTACGGCTCATGCCATCCACAAGGAAGACAGCGATGCCACGCTGTTACGACGGTAGAAGTACGTAATAGATTAATTTTATGTACCTATTTTTATGTTCCTTAAACTGTCAAACACCGCGAGGACACCGGTGACCGCAACCTATTATTTTTTTAATTGTGTCTATAATGATGGTACTCAAAGAGTTAAGGCACTTTCCAGCGCGATGGAGTCATGCAATCAAAATTCGCAAAAACGCATTGGTTATTTAGAATAGTTGAAGATCATGGAGCTCAGAATTGTGCTTTTGGAAAGGTCTAAACGGCTGATAATGCTGAAAATCCTTTCACGCCCAAAGCATTTTGAAGTCCAAATGTAGAAAATTGACTGTCCATTAAGATTAAGAATACAATATATCAAAAGAAAGGGTCTGGTTAATTATTTCTCATCGCAGCTTCAGACTGAGATACATTTTGGGTTAAATACAATAAAAAATAATAGATCTTTATAACAATGTTGTAGTACAATGCTATGGAGAGTAGTGTCCAAGGAATTCCATTGGTGGTATGAAACGCATCATGAATTGGTCAGTCAGTCAAGACGGCTGTTTCTCTCTCTTGTCAGCTGTGCGCTCCTAGTACGCTGACAATGATCAATTGCATTTCTACAATACGGTTTTACTATGCGCTGTGTTTATTTTGTTGGCCTAATTAGGAGTTAGCTTGTCTTTTGTGCTTGAAGGAATGAGCCAATGCATTTTACTGGGTCCCACTTATTTATGCAAACCTGGGTCAGTGGGTCGTCTTAGGGGCAAGGAGTTTAGTACTTAGAAAAATTTTCATCAAAAATGAAAATTCTTATAAATTGTCATATCTGTTATTGATGTATGATTACTCAATTCAAGAAACTGGAAAGTGTGCCTGGTTTTTTTATTGTATTTTTTATAGGATGTAAGACATTTTGCAGGTATTATGAATGTAGGTCAAAAATAGATCGATGGTTCTACAGACAGTTCACCATACTTTAATAGCATTGATTACTAAAGTTAATGTGCAAAATTTTTTGGTAACAGAATAATATGTTTTTAGAAAGATATTATAAAAAGCAATTCGTCCATTTAACTCTTGAAAATTCGCTTCATAAATAATTTACTAACATACCTTTTTTCGTCTTTTCCTTCCAGGATAAGTATTGAGAGGTTGCGGTGGGGGTGGTATGTGGTAGAAATATGGTGGCGTGTACATCAAGTCTTCAAGCCCTGGAGTTATGGGCGTACCCCGAGATGGAACCATTGACCGCACGGTGCCATACAAACTCCTGTGACGTGTCTTCCCGTGAACATTCATCATCACACCGAATTCACACTGGCTCAACAGTTTTGCACGAATACACGATCACGTTAAAAAATAGTCTTGTAAAAACTGCACGGTAATAAAATGGGTCACATCGACCCTTTAGTTAAGACAGCGAAACTCAACCTTAAAGTACAACTTAATTTTTATGAAATAAAAAATAAGCTACCGAACTATTGTTTTTTTTTTAATTAGTAACGAGGTTGTCTAACAGATAAATATTTTTTTTAAATATTAAGATCTTTAGTTCCCCGTTTTATGAACGTAGATTGGTGGCTAGACGCGAGCGGCCAGTGTTGTCACTGTTTCAGGTTTAGTGCGTGATTCGCTGGAGAATGCATTGGTCTATCGTGAACACGTTACATCTAATTATCATAGTTTATCTGCTTTTTCCAATAGGGTACGTGGAGCGCGACGTATCGACATACTGATGTTTGAAAACGTATAAAAAGTGCTCACACGCAGATGCGCGCGCCGATCCACATCGATAGTTTTAAAAAGTTTGTCGTTATTATTTTATTTGTATTTAATTATTATTTTATTAGTAGTTGTTCTTTGATTAATTACTGCGTTAGTTGATGCGTGTTTTGAAACTTATTGGTTGAAATGCTTGGTTTCGTTTTCAATTAAGTATCTAGTCTAGGTGATGATTCATCTAGAATTCTAGATTTTCAGACTGCAATTGTATTTGGTTTGATGCAGTTCAGTATCAAGAAATGACCACATTGTTTTTGTCTTAGGGAAGAATTTAGGAAATTATTATTTATTTATTTCTTCTTAACACAGCAGTAAATGGCGGACTTAATGCCTTAGAACATTTCCTGACAGCCACAAGATGGGCAGTGACATAAAATATTTATTAAAGCTACTAAATTAGCACAAATATGTTATCAATATCTCTTAATTACTACACGTGTTATCCCCCAGAGAATGACGCAGATATTAAACGTGGTATCGTTTGAACGCCTACTCTATAGTATGTTGATGTTTTTTAATCTCGTGGGGAATATTGACTGGATGACAGATAGGCACTATAACCAAAAATAGGTCAATGGCGACTGATGTTTTTTTTTTATTAAAGCGTTGCTTTGCCTAGGATTTTGCCCCTTGTCGTGAATGCGTTTAGAACCCAATATTACATAGACAATTACACTTGTACAATGTACATATTAGGCTTTTGATTGGTAAGATTGAAGTAAACTCGATCGCGGTCCGCCATATCATTGATTGTGAGAAAAATATCGACCAATGACGGGCGAGAATGCGATCGAGGTTAATTCAAAAGTTCGAATTGAGAGTAACAGAATAGCCAAATGCATCTAAATAACAATTTTTGGACACACACAAAATATTAATATTTAATTACTCTTTAATGTCGTGGTGGTCCGGAGGTTAAAGACACCCGCTGCCCGCTTCTAATCCATGAAGGTGCGAGTTCGTAACCTACCAACGGCAAGTACCAATATGACTTTTTCCGTGCATTATGTACTTTTCTAAGATTATCTAGACATCATTGACAAACGGTGAAGGAAAACATCGTGAGAAAACCTGGGCTTATAATTTCTTAGTATAAGTCAGTAATCGCAAACCCGCATTGAGCGAGCGTGGTGATTAATGCTCAAACCTTCTCCGTGTGAGAAGGCTTTGCTGAGCAATGGGCATTTATAGACAACAGCCTATCATCAACAGATGATGGTGATTGATGCATTACTCTGTACGCGAATGGAAGCTACGACATGTTGCGTGTACCCAGTTCAGCCACTGCAACTTGCCAACCAGCAAACAAATGCAAAGTTTTACTAGAATTCATATTTTATTTTAACAATAAGAGCAGAATTTAAACGTATTTGAACAATACAGGTTAGAACAAGTAAATAAGTTACATGGCATTCATGTAGTGTTTGGCAAAGAGCCAGGAATGTTGATTGCTGAGTTCTTACAGGTATGTAGGGTAAATTCGCCTGTTCGCGTCACGAAAATTCGCGAAAATTTCCGAAAATAAAAAAAACTATCACCATTATGCCTGCCTCGTTAGCCGAGTGGTCGCAAGTGCGAGTGGTGGGCAAGGGGTCTCTGGTTCAATACCCGGGTCGGGCAAAGTAACACTGGGGTTTTTAAACATCATGTAGGTATTTATAAGCACAATCTGTACATCTATACAGATAATAAATAAAATTGGAGTGTTTGTTTCGATTATTAAAATAACCGGGTTTTACTACATGCATATGAATATACATACGAAACCTATACGTATACCAAAATTACATTTTTAATTGTCTGTCTGTTTGTACTGGCTAATTTCTGAAATGGCTGGACGAAGTCGCGGGCAACAACTAGTGTATCATAAATCCATAATGGCTATCTTATACTTCGTCAAATAAATTAAGTTTCTTTATATGTGTCCACTCGAGTGTAGTGTAGTTTTAGTTAACATAATGCGAGCATCAAGACACGTGTTAAATGTATTAAATATGTATTGTAAATGAAGTCTAGATAGGTACATGCTATTCTGTAATAGAGTGGCACAAATGCCTCTACTCATATGGAGAAGGATCGAGCAGTGATCACCACGATACTGGCCTGATTTCAAATCCCTTTCACTCAAACGAATCTTAAAATCTTATGAGTAACATTTAAAAGTATTTAACATACTCATAAAATTCTGTATTTTACGATAAAAACCTTTTTTGTAAGAAATAAACTTTTTTAATCATGTTAAATAAAACTTTTAACTTTGCGCCCTCTGGTGGATTAAACCGGTATCAGAATACGACCACAGAGAAAACTTCACCGCTTGTTTCACTACCTATGCCTCGAGCTACATAAGTGCGAGTTCTACTATTAAATTCTAGATGGCGCTGCACGCCCAATCAACCTACTTGATTGACCGCGAAACTTCAAAATAAAAAAACGTTTTGTCAAAAATGGCGGACCAAAAGAAAGTAACATAATTATAAATAAAATTAATAATGTATTTAGCTTCTGCTATCACGACCACGGTCGAAGAATAATTACACAACAACAAAATGGCTGCTGGAACGGCCGTTAAAGCATTTTTCACCTTTATTTTCGACACAGTACACTGCGCCGGTATCAGTGGCAGGGACAATGGATTTGGTAACAATTACGTTTGGGCTGGATCTTTAGAATCAGGTCTCCAGATAGCCACACACCACAGAAAACCAGTAATGGTGATCATCCACAAATCGTGGTGCACAGCCTGTAGAAATTTGAAGCCGAAATTCGCCAACTCTCCAGAAATACAAACGTTAAGCAAACACTTTGTCATGGTCAATTTGCTTGATGAAGAGGAACCGAAAAATAATGTATTTGCTCCAGACGGGACGTACATACCGAGGTACACGTCACATTGCTCTAAAATCTATTATTTGTGTACAAAACCCTATCACCATCATTAAGTGTCAATGACCTAGATTTGTAAGCAGTAAAAAGAGTTACTGCAGATGCTCTGTCTCTATTGAAGGATAAGAAGTCTGTCTAATCTTCTTATTTTCAACAGCAAATATTGTAACGATTGTTGTCTAACTCTATATTTGAAGTGAATCTTTATTTTGACTTCCTTAACCTCTTGTAGGTATTTAAGACACAATAGAAAACACATTATGTCTCGCATAGATCTTTGCTCCGACATACCAGAGGTTAAGCCTGTCTTTGTAAATTCATTCAATAATTAATTTAGATGCAAAACTATTTAGTTGGCCTATAATTTTATGAACAGAACTAGCAAACCCGGCGAACTCCGTTTCGCCACCAGGTGGCTTCGTTTTATGTAACTTTCTTTGCTATAAACCTCACGAAGATCGAGACCTTTCCAACGAATGCTATACCGTGGAAATCGGTCCGTGCTTTCTGGAGTTATAGCGTTAGGAAGGAAAACCCGACTTATTTTTATATAGTAGAAGATAAAAGGCCTAATTTATTCCTTCTTCTTTGCAGAATCCTGTTCATTTCACCAAAAGGTAGTGTGGACCCCGAAATAGTGAACGAGGAGGGCAGTAGTCAACACAAATACTTCTACAGCAAACCAGAACAAATTGCTAAATCCATGAGAAAAGTACTCGACAAATATACTGAAGAACAATTCGATGTATGACGAGTTAATTTGTAGAAAATTGTAACAAGAGATGAAAGAGTCAAAGTCTACATTTACATGTAAAGCAGTCTCCTAGATTAAGATTCAAAAATGACTGACATCTCCCTGTCCAAATGTTACGCGTAAATTCTTGTGTAGTGCACTGACATGGAATTTGTTGCTTCCAGGATATGCGGCGTTAAATCGACAATATATTTGGCAAACTGTGATAATGATATAAATATGATGACACTGTAATTTGTACTAATAAAAAGCGCATATTTAAGGGTTTAATTTCTTTTTTGACGCCTACACGCCCGACTACTGAAAGGCTACTCAATTTGAAGTTGTACTTAAATATCGTGAGCCATCAAACCACCACGGACGGGGCCAAATAGGGCTGATGCCGATACGGAGCCGCGGAGAACTTAACGGGTTACCGGGGCTCCGGTTCGAACCGCAGAAGTAGGAACGGGGTGGTTTTTAGTAAGTAAGTCTAACACTCCCTCCTGCCTCACCCAGACGGGAGCAGACATTCGATGATTTTCAAAGAATTTTGCAAAAACTGGAATGACACGACTATATCTAAGCGGGACTTAAAATTGATCGTTTGACTTAAACTTGGTAGTTAATGTGATAAACATGTAAGTTGTAGCTTAATGGATATTTCGAAACGTACACAATGCCTTATGCTATTACATTTTAGGTAGTATCTTCTACATAAGTATTACTACGACTACTGTTGTTTCCTCTGATCGACAAATTTTATGTCTTCTAATATAAATGTTTGAGACAGTATAGTAATAGTGTATTATCTTATCTTGACTTTATATTCTTTAACTTATTTAGATACGTATCGTTCGCTGCGGATAATTGTTTTAAATCTTTAATGTTTCGCCGTAATAGTTTATCCACCGTGCAGACTGCATGTGTGTAGAATTAGGATGATGACGGGGTACGAAAATTAAAAATCTATTTAATCCGTAAGTTAGGTAAAGAAAAAATATTAGATTGTTGTATACTAAAATGGTACCTATATAAAACGAATCAAAGTTTAGGAGTGGGGGCTAAAACGTCATTTCTACGTATAAAATGTACATAGAAGTGACGTCACGCGACATTTCAAATCAATATATCGTCGAAAGTATTCGGTTCTAATAAAAAATATATGTCTAGTGTTTAAAAGTAATCTACCAGACGGACATTGAAATAAAAGTTAGGCATCTACCCTATTTCAGAAACAAAATTAAAAAAGAAATACTTACATCTTCGACGACGGGTTCCACATACATCTCCATGGTATTGTTGAGTGGTGGTAGTGGCATTGGCATGGGCGATGCCGCCGCCGAGGACCTGCGGGAAATGCTGTTGCAGGAACATTGTGACACGGACCGACGAGACCGGGGAGATTCTCTGTGGACAATAAATAAATGTTCTGTTAATCTAAATCGGCACTTTTAGACAAGAAAGATTTGCAATGATTGGAGTCTAAAACTTTTCTGATCTTTTATTGGTCGCTTTTGGTTTTATGTTGCCTCAGTCTGAGGTTTATTCGTTAATGTAGTCGTCAATAGTTAAAATACGACAAGTAATCATGAGTTTATTTTACGGATATGAGATAATTTTGAATGTTGCTGGTTTTTGATGGTTCCTCGATTATAAACTGGAAAATATAGAAAAAGACAAACAATGCTAAAATATCAGTGATACAGTTAATTTTACTGTATATATCCTTCTTACTAATATTATAAATGGGAAAGTTTGTGAGGATGTACGATGTGTGTGTGTGTGTGTGTGTGTGTGTGTGTGTGAGTGTGTGTGAGGGTGTGTGTGTGTGTGTGTGTATGTGTGTTTTTTACTCAATCACATCAAAACGGCTGAACGGATCAGTATGAAATTTGAAACAGGGGTAGATTATGGTTTGAAATAAAACATAGGCTACTTTTAAACCCACGGGGACGCTGGCCAAGCCGCTGGCAGACGCTAGATAGCAAACTAAACCTTAATTACTTCTTGCTAGATTGTTTTTCTAACGTTCCGTTGTTACCTTTGTCCAACAATTAATTAAGTGATTATGTGCATCATAAACAGTTCTCGGTATGTTTATGTATCACTTCTGATTGTTATGTGCAATGTGCATGCTTGTTCGAGTACTTGGTTACATATAGTTAGTTACGGACTACGGTAAACCACATTCCGTAGCTAACAAGAAATAATGTATAAGTTGGAACACATACGAGTTAGAAAAATGCAACAAATGATGTAATGTAGATAGTGGATGATATTGATGACTATACAAAAGTGTGGGACGTTAGTTATTCTTTATAGATTTACATTTTATTCCGATCCCTTAAGCCATTTTGATGTAAATGGGTAACAAACAAAATATTGGTAGGTATAAAATCAAGCAGACGGATCACAATACATGATGGTAAGCAATCAGCGCCGCCTACAGACCAGTTACAAGTGCGTTGCTAGCCTTAAGAAACTTATCACTTATCACAAATAAAGTTTCATTTCATTTCATTTCATTTCATAATATTTGACCCTCTAAACATAATCCAAGTTGTGTTCTTTCACTTTTACGTCTATTATCTTAGTTCAACCAATCAATCAATCTTTGGAGACTGTCTGAACAACTAAGCATGTAAAAAAACCTTAATATTTATTCATATTGCATAATGTACATATAATAAGAAGTATTACATACAACGAATTCAGTACATTACCCTGTTAGGGCGCAGCAATTTAAAACGTTACAAAATTGAATGTCAGCTGAAATTTATAACTATTTCTTAGAGTTATATTTTTGGCATTTCATAAAGGTTATGTTACATATGATTTAATGCACAAATTTATGCACGCTAAAAGACGTTCTATACAGCATATTCAAAAATGTTCAAAAATCGAACGCATTGGGGATTAGGAGTTTGAGGATCGTTGGGGATTCAGGGATTGGGGAGATTGGGGAAGGGGAGGGTAATTGGGCCTCCGGTAACCTCACTCACACGACGAAACACAACGCAAGCGTTGCTACACGTCGGTTTTTGGGCTCGCTGCCATCGCAGCGGTAAGTCCCCTCTTTGAGGAGTGGCTTGAGAGACGCTACGGCGTCCTCACCTACCGCCTGACGCAGGTCCTCACCGGACATGGCAGTTTCGGGAGGTACCTGTGTCTGATGGGGCGGGAGGAAACGCCCGGGTGTCATCACTGCGAGGACCGCCCTGAGGACACGGTGGAACACACGGTGGGAGAATGCCCTTCGTGGGCTGAGCACCGCCGTGTCCTCAGGGAAGTGATCGGCGATGGCGACCTCTCGCGTCCGGGCCTAGTGCAGGCCATGATGCGGAGCGAGGGGGATTGGGATGCCGTCTCCTCCTTTTGCGAAGCAGTCATGCTAGCTAAGGAGGAGGCGGGACGCGTGAGGCAGCGAAGCGCTGCCTCCTCGCAACCCAGCCATCGCGAAGGACACACCGGGCGTCGGGGATCGCGGGACGATCTCCGGCCACCGTAAGCGCGGGCCTGCGGACGGCGAGCATGGGTGGCTCCCCGTCCGACCAGAAACAGACCCGAGCGTACGGCGTGTCGCGTTCCGCGCGCGCCTCAAAGAGCCATCAGACCACCACAGATGGGGTCCAATAGGGCCGATGCCGATTCGGAGTCGCGGAGAACCTAACGGGTAACCGGGGCTCCGGCTCGACGTGCAGGAGAAGGAACGGGGTGGTTTTTAGTCAGTAAGAGTCTGACACTCCCTCCCGCCTCACCCAGGCGGGGGCAGTCATTCGATGATTTTCCCCCCTTAAAAAAAAAAAAAAAAAAAAAAAAACACGTCGGTTTTCAGTGAGGCCGTGGTATCACTCCGGTCGAGCCGGCCCATTCGTGCCGAAGCATGGCTCTCCCACACTTAAAACAACAAACCCAATGGATCGTCGCTACATATTGTTCATTCAGAAACAGTGCGTTGTCATCGACAGCATATTAATTAATTTTAATTAGCCATCGGTCATTGGCCGTGGGAACTGGGCTACAGAAAACCACTGACGATTTGTCACCTACCTGTTAATTATAGCTTTTCGTTATGAATCCATATTTATAGAACTTTATGAATATTTTATAGGGAAGGGAAAGTTATGAAAATTGAAGACTGTTTTTAATCTGTTGGTAGTAAGGTAGTAAAACGACTATAGACAATTTTTTTTTAAGGGGAGAAAATCATCGAATCTCTGCTTCCACCTGGGTGAGGCGGGAGGGAGTGTCAGACTCTTACTGACTAAAAACCACCCGTTTCCTTTTCCTGCACGTCGAGCCGGAACCCCGGTAACCCGTGAGGTTCTCCGCGATGACCATAGATAATGGAGGCTTATATCGCAAAACTTAACAGAAAAGTTACTGTTTTTTTTAAATTTGCCAATAGCAAAGTGAAATCTGACATCCGTATCTTGTTAAAAAAAATAGTTATTTACCACCAATAAGTGTTGTTGGTGTTATAACAAAAATTAGAGACATAATTTAATTAAGTGCCACATGAAGCTATGAATGAAACCTGGTATAGGTAAGCGTAGAAGACAGAAAACTGTATTCTGAGAGATGAGACTGTATTCTATTCTGACGTAAAAGAGTCCATTAATACTACAACGAATGGACAGACGGATGTGATTGAGTACTAGGAATGTTTATTCCACCAGCCAACCAACAAAAATTGACATAACTCCCTCCAAAACTTTATAAATAGAATCGTGAACACGTTAATGAGTCCTTAAATCGTGTAGCGGCGCGAAGATTGGCTGTAAAAGCGACTAGTTGGGAGGCATTAAATGTTAATGTACCATCTTTGAAGACTTCTGAAACTACATCGCGAGGAATTTCAAATAGCTGCAGTCGGTAGGAATAGGTTTGGTATTTTTTTGGTGTTTAGCTGTGTGATGACAGCAAAGTCCGCAAAGTAGAATGCATACGAAATCATTTCCATACAATTGTCTATGACTAGCACCGTGTACAATTATTTACAGTTTCTAATCTATGTAACATTTTGCTGAAAAATCTTTTAAATTTGACCACAGATTAAATATTTTTTTTTTAACTAAAGCAAACTTCGAAAACACAATTCAAGTTCAACACATATATTACCTTCTGCTTCTCCGACACACGTGATGAGAGGTCCGTTCACATCTGCATCTCACAGGCACAAAGTACCCCAACTGGG